CCACTTTCTAACACGAGGCCTGGGCCCACAAAGCTGAGGGTTGCCTTCTGGAACACAGGACCTTGAGACTGACCCCCCAGAGTTCCCTAGGGTGACCCCAACCTGGCCCCCAACCTTCTGTGGAGTCTGCCTCTTCGTTCTTTTCATGACAAGGCAGAATGAATACATTTAAGAAGAAACTGAGTCCCAAAACAGTGCCCTTTCCTTCTCTCATCACCCACTTTTAAAAACGGTTTATTGACATGTAATTCCCATACCATATAATCTGATGGTTTGAATATATTAAAAACAGTTGGGCAATCACCACCACAATCAATTTTAGCAAACTCTGCAAATGAGTCATGAACTCCACATGCAGAACCCACAGCCTGGGAGACTAGAGTTGCTCAACAAAAATGCCCCTGAAGTTTAACTGGGAACATGATTGCCCAAAGACGTGACTCTTATTTCCCAACTTCCCTTGCAACTGGGTGTGGGCTTTGAAATAAACTCTGGGCCCCGGGCGTTGTTAGAAATGGCGTGCTGTTCTGGCCAAGGCCATAATGGTAGAGGACATCCTGGTCTCCCATTCCTCCTTCCCTAGGGTGGCTGGAGGTGAAGCGGACATCGTGGTCTGGGCGCTGAAGACCGAGTTAGTAGCCACATGAGGTCCCAGCCTGGCTTCACCTTCCTACCAGGGGACAGAATGGTGTCCTAGTTCTGGGATCCTCATTTTAGGAAGGACATTGGCAAACTATAGTACTAGGCTAATTTTAACAGGATGGTTACAAAATCATAGAAACCTTTATTAAATAAACCTGAAGCTAATATTTCTTGACATGCCCTCCCTTCTAGGTCTGTACACCACTAAGGCAGCATTTCCATCTCTAACCATCTCCCAAAGACTCCTATACTGGGATCTACAGCACCTCCAGTAGCAGTGTGGTCCTCCATGAGACCTCAGACCACGGTCTCCCATTCTCTTCAGAATCTAGAAGTCAGAAGGGGAAAGATCAGGGTTGGAGGGTGGATGGAGTAAGGTTTTTCCATAAAAATCTGGTGGGACAGCTCTTGCCACCCTCGAAAAATGAGTGGGTGTATGGTCATGATGGCAATTTAATTTCTTCTCATTGCAGTCTCCAGAATTTAACTTCATAAGCCCCAGTGATCACCCCTTGTCCTTTGCAGAACTCTACCAAGATCACTCCCTTGGAAACCCAAAAAGGGCACCATAACTTTCTGAGCTGACCCAACTCAAATTTAACTGGCCTCACGGAGCCCCTTGCAAGCCAGGTTCAACTGGACCTTGCTTCCTGCATTGTGTTGGCAAATGCAAGTCCTGTCCCCAGTCCTGATTTGTTCCACAGAATCTTTCTTGGCTTTAATCTTGCTTAAAATAAATATTAATGGAAAGCTCAGCTCTAATGGAAAGAATATCCCAGGTCTTCCTGTAATGCCTTTAGTATCCTTTTGTGTTTTGAAGTCCCCCGAAGGAGCCATGATGAGTAGTGGTTACACATTTTGCTGCTAATCACAGAGCTGGCAGTTTGAAACTACCAGCTGCTCCTTAGGAGAAAGATGAGGCTTTCTACTCCAGTAAAGGGCTACAGTCTTAGAAGCCCATTGGGGCAGTTCTACTCTGTCAGAATTGACTGGATGGCAGTGAGTGAATGAGACTCGGATAAGTGTATCACTGAAAGAACTTATCCACAGCCAGCCAACCATCCATCAGACAGGTTTAAACTTTGGGGGAGGGGGGTGAACCTATGTATTTATGAACTAGAACCCTCATAGTGCTACTTTTTCACTTACCCTGGTATATCCACTCACATAACCAGAAAGGAAAATAGCAAAAATGTACACGTGTCCTGCTACGTTTGAGGCATCATTTTAAGCACAGAATTTCTCGTGCAATATTTAAGCTTCATAACCACCTTGAGTACAATTGCTCCCTTTTCACAGATGAGACATACAGGGCACTTCAATCCGTACAAGGTTAATGGGGAGCCCTTGTGGCACAGTGGGTACGTGCTCAGCTGCTAACCCCACCTACCTGCAGCTCCATGGAGACTCCAGCTTCAAGATTCCATGGAGCGATGCCACTGTCCAATCACGGCTATTCTGAGTCAGAATCGAATCAGCTGTGGCTTTAGGTTTGAAGCTGTAAAAAAATCTCACCCAGAGATGCTGAAGTAACTGATGCAAACTTCGTGGCAGCCGTGCGATGAAAGCAGAGGTGGCAGGAGCATGGGCCTGGGGTGGTTATACCATGCCCACCCGGAATTGCCTCCGTTCACAAGGTAGTAAATGTTGGGGACGTCCCATGTCAGCCCAACTGTGGGTTCCCATCCCTCAAAGCTGGACAGAATTCTAATTCATATACACCGCGAGGCTCCATGGTGAGATAAAGCACATCAACCGTATAAACACCCTTAGTACTACCTTCAGACACCCGTCTCCTCTGTGTGTGTGGCTGGCACTTTATAAGTACATGATAGTCGTGTCATTTCCAGTTTATCTGCTTATAAATGTAAAGAACATCTGTGGATCAGCACCAACCACAGGTAATTAAAGCATCTGTGGCAGTGTGACGTGGTGGTTCTTTGGCTTGATGCTGTCAAGTAGCCATGTTTATAGGAACAAGCACATTTCACAGTAAGATCACATGATAGAAAAGTTCACTTATCAATCAGGGCTCTCAGATTCTAAGTGTTTTACTTTTGAGAATTTCCTATTGCAGCCAATGGAGGGTACAATGGCTTTGTAGTTTTTTAAGAGTATGTTATTTTGTTTGTATATAAGATTTATTAATAAAACAATTGGGGCAAGAAGCAGCAGCAGATTGGTTATTTCAGCATATTTCTCTTTATAAAATAAAATGGACCAAATCATCTTCCTTCTTATACATCTGTCTGTAGAGGATGAAACTTTTTTTTTTTTAAACTCCCTTCTCAAAAACAGAAAAACTAGTTGCAAGTAACAGCAGAATTTTCCCCACCAGTAATGAGTACAAATTTCCAAGTAAGAGCTTCAGGAATGTTACAGGCACGGTGTAAAGAATTCCAGATATGATTATGCTTTCTCCTGACACTTCCTCCCCTATGCGATTACACTTACGCTGATTGAAATGGCTTAGTATACTGAATTAGAGGTATTGAATTCTTTAAATACTTTTATTGGGAACTCTTACATCTCTTATCACAATCCATACATGCCTCCAGTGTGTCAAGCACATTTGCACATATGCTGCCATCATCATTTTCAAAGCACTCTTCGCACTTGAGCCCCTGGTATCCGCTCGCCATTTCTTCCCCTTCCCTCCCCGCCCACCCTCCCTCACGAACCCTTGATGTTATATTTTTCCCATATCTTACATCGCCCATCGCCTCACCCACTTTTCTGTTATTCGTCCCCCTAGGAGGGGGTTCTAGATTGATCCTTGTGATCGGTTCCTTCTCCCCTCTCCCTCCCCTAATCTTCCTGGTATCTCTACTCTCCTTGTTGACCCTGAGGGGTTTATCTATCCTGGATTCCCTCTGTTGCGGGCTTTTATCTGTAGCAGTGTGCATGCTCTGGTCTAATCCCATTTGTAAGGTAGAACTGAAGTCATGATAGTGGGGTGAAGGAAACACCAAAGAACTAAAGGAAAGTTGTTTCATCAGTGCTCTACTGATGAAAGTTGTTTCATCAGTGCTCACCTGACTGGCTCATCTCATGTTATTTTCAGGAGGTTCCCAAGAATATTCCGGTGGTACAATGAAAATTTCCAGGAGAAAAAGGATACTGATGCTTCAGAGACACACTCAGGATGAGACTGAGCTGGGGCGGAGAGGAGTAAATTCACCCACAAAGTTTCACAGACGGGCAGGAAGCAAGCCTGTGAGCCCAGTTCCAAAACATACCAACGAGCCCAGGCCAGGTCAGCACAGATGAGAGATGCAGCTGGTTTGAGCCAGGCTGCTGGCAGCGTCTCTGGAAGAACCATCTGCCCCTCCCTGTGTGTCCTTGGCACGAGAGTGCTATAGACTCAGAGGCCATTTCCTTGTCTAGGAGACAGGGTTGCTGGGGGAAGCAGTATGTAGAAGCAGGCAGCTCTGTGCCTGGCTCCACGTCGTAGTGCAGCTACTGTTGGCTCAAATCACAGTAAGACACGAGATGACACAACAAAGCAGCAGCACGGTTTTGTACACTTGAATGACTTGGGAACATGTCCACACAGCACTGTGGCCCTCCGTCTTGGAAAGCTCTTTGGTCTGCTTATGGAAGTCTGTGCCTGCATGCCCACCAACCTGGGTATGAGAGGGAATGCGGGGAGAGGGAAAAGACAGGCAAAGAAAGCACACAAGAAATGGAAGGGGGGACTCAAAGGGGTGTCAGTGTGGCCACTGGCAGGGCTGCAGCCAAGTGATGGGGGTGGTGGTGTAACCTCAGTTGTGAGTGTGAGGGTTGAGCTAATGGGTTGCTGGTGTGGCTTTTTGCCTTTACTGGGTGTTCCCTGCAGGCAAATTAACACGTGCACAACTCAAAACTCACATTGTTTCAAAGTGTTTCCTCTGCCCACAGGACTCATGTTCATTTCCACAGGGATGCATTTTCCTTCGAAAACAAGTGATCTAACACAATTGCCAGCCTGACCCACCACACAGCAGGCTTTGAGCTCTGCCAGGATGCTGCCTGCATGGCCACTCACGCCTTCCAGGCCTGTGCTTCTCCCCGCCTCTCTCCTGAGCCCCGGGCTCTATTCTATCTGCAAAGCTCTCCAGTGATCCCTCCAACTGGATCCTTCGAGAGTGAAGGATGCGGGTCAGGAAAGCAAGGCAAGCTCATAGCAACAGGAGGCCCGAGCTGCCTGCCCGTCAGAGCTCGGAGGCCAGACAAGGAGAGCTGTGCGTTCATTAGCCCCGCCCACCAAGAAAGAACCAGGCTTGGCAGCAACAAGCTTCCTGTTTGTGATCGGGACAGAAAGCACACCCAACACTCAATATTTCCCCGCCTGCTGTCTGAGGACAAACACTCTTTTGTACCAATCTTTGTATTTATTCACACATTTGATAAAAATGTCAGAGTTAGAAGTGAAATCATGACAACGACACACGTGACTGTACATACAGACCCCAAGTGCAGAGTCAAGCCACCATAAATCAGCACACACGAAGCAGCAAGCGACTCCTTAGCATGGGCCCACATACATGCTCTCCCGCCCCCACCAATGCCCAACAACCGCAGGCGCCAAGCACAGACGCAGCCCAGCAAGCTCCTCCCTGGCTTCAGTCAGGCTCAGGGGTGAGATGAGAAAACAATCGCGGAGAAGCCGCCGGGCCCGCTCCACATCTCTGCTCTGCCAAGGGCTCGGGCAGGACGAAAAGCACTGGGCGGCTGCCTCCTTGGCACGGGACCTAACTGGCAGAGGTGCTGAGGAAGGGCTGCAGTTAGTCGGTGAGATCCTGTTACAATGTCACAAGAGAGCAACAAGTTAGCAACAAATCCTGTCACTGAAATGCTAAAAGTGAGAGGGAGCGAGGATTTAGAACTTGAGCCCTGGTCTCCCAGTGACCATAAGCAACACCAGTGAGGCCGCACACGATACTGACTGTGGCCTTATCAGAACCGCATAGCTCGTTTTTATATTTTTCCAAGCTTGTTTTTAATTTAGCTCTCAAGGGAGGAGGAAAATTAACCTGGGGCAGGACCAGCAGTCCTCGCATGTGGCCTGAGTCAAGTTGTAAGTGCTGCGAGTGAAGAGCACAGCACAGCCCCCCTCTGTGCCTTCAGCCGGCTGAGGAGACGTGCCCACAGGATCCGGGCAGCCAGCCTGAGGTGTAAGCAGAGAACAAATGAGTGAAGCGAACTAGTGTGTCTCTATACTGTGAGGCTGTGCAGTGGAGGAATACCGTTCAAATCCCCAATTCATTCTGTTGACACAAAGATTAAAAGCAAAAAAAATAAGAAGCCCCACTAGATACAAAAGTAAAGTTTTGAGCCTCTCCAGTGGCCCCATCAAAAGCCTAATCCTATGAAAAAAAGAGCCCTCCCCGGTGCTCGGGGAACATGGGGTGAAGGGCGGCAATCATCCAAATGGACAAAATGAGGGCATCTGAAGGAAGAGCTGGTCAGATTCACGGGACACTGTGACGGCCAAGGACAAGCCAGGAGGCCAAGTTTGGGGAGGGGGGAGGGACATTTCTTGGTACAAATGTTATTTCCTAAAGACAGATGCAAGGAGAAGACAAGGCACTTGCACCACAATGTAGTATTTCATATCCATTCCACAGTAAAGACAGTGGCCAAGAGCACTCCTGTAACTCCCTCTTTGAAGAACCATGCAGCCAGCTTCACCTTCCGGTGGGATCTTCAGAGCTACAGGAAATCCAAAACGCTGCAGAACCGATGGTGGGAACTGGTGCATCCGCAGAGGAAGCAAAGGGGCAGTGTCGCCTTGGACGTGAGGTGAGGTTCAGATCAGCTCAGTGAAATACTGAATTTCAAAATGCTTGGCCTGAGAATAGGACAAGGTCCCCAGGGGCGTCTTCTCAATGTTTCAATAGACCAGTCAAGGCTCCGCATCAAGTCAGACAGCAGTTACTGAGTGACTGTGCACTGGTGCACTGGAAGTTCTGGCAGATGCCTTTAATACTTGTGGCCTGTCCTGTTGTGCCGCAGAGGGACAGAGGACTGAGACAGGAGGAGCGGCAGGCTCTTGCTCCGCGCCCCAAAGCCCCTCACTCAGGCATACTCGATCCGTGCAGGTCCACGACTACTCTCGCTCTTCCGCTCAGAGGGCTGGCTGGCGGCCTTGGCCTCATTACCTATCTCCAGAGGCTTAGTGGAGATGTAGTCCTTCACTTTGATCTCCATGTTCTTGGCTTTCAGTGTGGCCGTGTGCAGCTTCTCCAGGAAATCTGGCATGCCTGTCGGGAGAGGGGAAAGGGGTCAGGCAAGAGGCTCAAAGCGAGGCCTATTTTCTTTGGGGTGTGCCTGTTTAGAAAGATCACAGCTGGAGAGACAACCTGTAAGCACTGCCTCCCAGTAAGTGCACAATAAAGAGCACGCACAGCCCGAGCCCCTGAAAAGGGGCACTGTGCAGGCGAGAGAAGCCCCCTGAATGTCAGCTCTGAGGTGATCACTTCTGTAAAGACTGCAGCCTTGGAAGCCTGATGAGGCAGTTCTACCTGGCCCAGGTGGCTGCTCGGTGAGCCAAAATTCAACTCAATGGCAAGAGGTTTTGTGGGGTTGTTTTGGTTTTGTTTTGTTTTGGGTTTTTTTATTTTTTATTATGGCATAAACCTAAACAGCTGCTGATTTTATACAGGCAAATGCCACACAGAAACTCTCCATTCTCATAGTCTTCCTGCTTCTGCCCTGATGCAGAAGGAGCTGCCTACAGACACTAACAGACAGAACGTGAGGGTGCTGGCACTGAACTCAGGAAGGAAAGAGAAGACTGCTTACAGCTGGCACATGAGCCTTGGTTAAGGTGGGGCGTTGCCCACCACCAATGCCCTGAAATGGACCACGTTACAACGTCCTGGATGGAGTAGGAGAAAAATGTGGAACAAAACCACAAATCATAAAAGAGACCAGGCTTCCAGTCAGATAGAGACTGGTGGGACCCTAAGACTACATACCCCTTAGCCACTCCTCAGGTCTGGGAACTAAACTTACCCTTGTTTTAGAATAATCAACCATTAATATCAAAAGAGTAGCATTTACCTCACAGTTCAAAGGGTTAAGAAAAGAGGAGGCATGGACACAGGAAACACAGGGCGGGAGTAGAGTAAGTGACTGTAAGTACACTGTGAGGATCGAGTGAGATGAAACTAAATGTGTGTGAAACCACATCTGATCTGTAAATATGCACTTAATTCTCAATAAAAAGTTTATAAAATTTTAAAAAAGAAGAAAGATGGGGGTAGCCCCCTTTTCCCAGTTGACCACACCACACTGCATTGTCTATGCCACATCTTATAGTCTCTAGTGCCACCTGAGGAGAAAAATTCCTAACACATTAATGTACACACAGCCCATGGTTAAGTCTTAGAAGCAAACATTTGTCTTGAAATGGTTTTGTGGGCACAAGTTCCTTTCTGGAACCTTCCAATTCTCATCCCTCCAAATCCTAGCTGGAAGCTTCACTATCTTCCAAGTATTCCAAAATGAATGTGAAGACTGTTTAGCCCCACTCCCACCCACCCCCAGTAAGGCTCCACCGGGACAGGTCCCAGTCTCCCTGCTGTCATTAAGAAGCCAGAGAAAAACAAACTACTCAATTCGAGCGCCAGGCCCCAGAGATGTCTCCACTCACCACTGGACACCATCCAACTAACACAGTAGCGCGGGAAAACAGTCTGGGGGTTGTCACTGTAGGTCAGCAAGTAGTCGAAGCCATTCTGCAAGAAAGAGCAGCAACGATGAGGAAGGCACTTGAATGAGCACCTCCATTTCAAGGACCACAGAATCACCAGGATCTGGTTGTGGGCAAGGAAGTGCCATTACCATGATTTTAACCCTGCTTACTCCCATTACTTCAAGGCTTCGAACCTCAAAGGCCTGCTTGTAAGGGAGGCCCTGGCTGAGATCTGGGATCTTGGCTCTCAAAGAGTCCCGTCAATAGTACTGAGAAGGGTAGTTCTAGGACTGTGAGAAATGAATTTCTATTCTTTAAAAGCACCCATTTAGTGGCACTTTGTTATGCCCATTCTAGGAACCTAAAACACTGAGAGGTTAGTGAGCCATTATTAAATAGCTTATCACAACTGCCTCTCAGAAAGAGAGTAACAGATCACTGCCAGGTGGGCCTGGGGAATCTCTCAGGTCTATCACCCTGCAGCTGGGTTCCCAAAGCCAAAACGTGGTTCCCGATCATCAGCCTGACTGGGAATTTTCTAGAAATGAAGATGCTAACTGATTCTGATGCATCTAAGTTGGAAGCGAAAGCCCTGCAGAAATGCACCCCTCTTATATTTAGATGAGAGGAGCCCTGGTGGTGGAGCGGATCCAAGTTGGGCTATGATCCGCATGGTCAACAGTTCAAAACCAGCAGCTCTGCAGAGAAAGACTGGGCTCTCTACTCCTATAAAGTTACAGTCTCAGAAACCCACAGGGGGCCGCGATGGGTCAGTACTGACTCAATGGCAATGGATTGAATTTGTATTTCGATGAAAGGCATTTCTGGAGAAAAACCCCAAGCAAGCACACTTCATCCCTTGGATAATACAGCACTCACCTCATCAAATGATTTGTGGGGGCGGATAACCATCTGCGATTCATAGGATCTGACCCTGACGAATTCAGGAGACTCAGGCACACTAGGGTGCTCCACAGCTCTGTGGGGAGGAGGGAGGGGAAGCAAAGGTCAGTAGTGCCCACAGGTAGAACAAGAGGGAAGAGAAGGCCTGCAAAGCTGGTGCTACATCCAAAGTAAATACAACAGGGCTCACAAACTCAACTCCCTGCCAAGGAGTTAGTTCTGAGAGTGACCCTAGTTCTGAGAACTGCCCCCGTAGACTTCCGAGACTGTAGCTCTTTATAAGAGTAGAAAGCCTCCTTTTTCCTCTCATCCTCGGAGGTTTCAAACTGCTGACCATGTGGTTAACAGCACAATGCAGGACCACTCTGTCACCCTCTGGAATATTTGCAGCTTACTAAGGCTTTGTGTTGAGGAAGCCACCTTTTTCTTAAAGTTGCCAACATTAAGGCACCTGAAGAAATTGCCTAACTAGAAGTTTATATCCCTTAATCTTCCTAACCAGTCACAGAACACTGGTTGGCTGTGGAGAGGCCTGAGGGCACTAAGAACAGATAAACTCCCCCCAGAACTAGCACATGAAAAGCAAAGGCATTCAGCAGAGCCACAGCCCCCCCATACATACCGTGACACCAACACCATCACGTTGTTCTCCGGATCCACACTGTACCGTCGAACGTACACATAATCCCGAGAATACATTGGGTACTGAAGAAACAGGAGAGGAAGATCAGTGCTGTGCATCGCATGGTCTAGAGAAAGGAAGCCAGAAGTAAAACTACTCACAGGAAAATGAGTCACCCAGTGAAGAACCTCCGAGCCACTAACCACATCCCTCTCGATCACCTCCAGCTTGATGACCAGGGCATCCCACTTTTTCCTATACTCTGTGTCCAGCTGGAGGGAGAGAAAGGATCATGAGGACAAGACTTCTATGGTGGTTCGACCAAAGACGGGGCCAAAGTGAGAGAGACCTGGCTGTAAAAAACAAGTGACTTTTAAACTCCCTCAGTGGAGATCACCACCACTACATTGAATGCGAGTGCCCAAAAAGGGAGATCAAAGCAGAGAAAGTAGGAAAAAAGTAACACTTAAGTCAGAGAAGGTATAACAAAGTTAAAAAATGTGGAAGGGTAAGACAGTTCTAACAAGCTTTAAATGGACTTTTTTTTTTAAGTTCAGAGTATGAGCAGATACACAAAGAAGTGCATGTAGGATATTTCTAAAATTTCAATCATTACAAATTGTGATGAACACACATATCCAAATTTAAAAAGTTCATACAAATTAGCAAGTGCTTATAGGAAAAGTGTAGTTTACATATTACCAGTGGAAATTATAATGCAGTACTAGCTCCGAGAGCCCAATAAAACAAACAAAAATTCCAAGAAGATAAAAATTCGTTGAATATAGAATTCTGGACAACACACCCAGCTCCACCACCATCCCCCCAGCCCTCCCCTTTTTTCATTTTTGTTTTGAACGTTTCCCACACTGCTCCAGACAAGCGATGAGCACAGCCCAACACCTGTACACAGAGCTCATCATGTGGGATGATAAGATGCAGCAGGTGAGCTGGGCTAGGAAACAAGCTCAAACCACACAATCTAAGAGTTACAATACAGGGCCAATAAATTACAACAAATCCAAGGAACACCAGGGAATCAACGAGATTCTTTTGGCTGGACCTTAAACATCCTGATCATAAAGATGATTTAAGACATAATAAATACAAGGGGTACCCCCCCCCAAAAAAAACAACCAGACTACCCTCCTCCAAGCTATGTATTTGAATTTTTTTTATTAAAAAATTATCACCTTCATAGTACTCTTTATTACATTGAATGCATTTGTCAAATCTGTGATTCCATTCTTAGAAATATTTTTCAAACTCATCAGTCTGGAGGCTGACAGCACCTCCCTTGTATTTTTCTTCACCTCTTTGACATTGTCAAATCACTATCCTTTCATGTCCCTCTGCATTCACATGGAGCAAAGTCAAGTGAGTAAGGTGCATGTGGCAAGAGAGAGGCATGCTATTTTTTGCTAATAATTGGCGCACTGAGATGGTTGCATGAGCAGGTGCATTGTGGTGGCAAAACAAGTCCTCCGTCTGCCATAAATCAGACTTTTGTCGCATACTATTCAGCTGTCTTTTCAGAACCTCTAAATAAAAAGCTTGACTAATAGTCTGACCTGGTGGAACGAATTCCAAATGTACTACATTTTTGTCCATTCGAGAAACTGACAGATATCCAGAACGAGGTTTGTCATCAATTGACATTTCACCTTTTTTGAAATGAGAAAATCACTCATGCACTTGAGTTTTTCCCAGAGTGCTGTTCTTTTAGGCTGTGTTCAACATCACCACAGTTTCTGCGGCATTTTTGCCGAGCACAAACAAAATTTCACAGCCTCAAACTGTTCTCTTAAATCGGCCATCACAAAAAACAAGATTCGAACAAAACTGCTTTTATCAAAAATTTCACTGTGACCACAGAAAGCCTTTCCAGGCAACGCCACTGGGTGCACTAACTCAGAGCGAATTGCTCCATGCTTGCCTAGTGGGAAAAATGCATACTTCGAAGGCTCTGGCTGGCTGAGCTTTTTTCAGTTTTGGGGAGGGTTACCTCTCACATGAACAGTATAAAGTACTATACAATATACTGAGGCACTCAAATTCATTCCTCTGTTATCTTCCCAAACAGGTTTCATCCCCACAGGGCAGGTGAAGCAGCTAGTGTTTACCCAGGTGCTGTGGAACATGGTGTGAGAGGTCTGAAGAGGTAGGATGGGGTCACTCTGAGCCAGAGACATTATGCATCTGGACAGCAGCCACTGTGCCGTCACGCTGATCTGACTCATGGAGACCCCTGCACAAGAGACTAAACACTGCCCGTGCCAGCCGTCGCCGATCTCGGCTTCGAAGGTCCAAATCTGGAGGGGAACGCAGGACTCACCTGAACATTGAAGAACTGTCGGGGTGTCACATCTGTGTAGGTTCCAAAAACTAGAGTGACAAGAAAGATCAAAGTGGCATCACTCACCCTGTTCCCATCACTTAATTGCACTTAATTACAGAGTACTGATAGAGCTCAAAGGTAGAATCAGAAAGTGTAAGTCATATCAGGGCAGCAGAGACAGGCAGCCTGCCGCAAACACTACATTGGACTCTTAGAGAAGAAAATCATGGCAAATTTTCTGAGAAACAATCAGAGTAACTTAAAAAAAAATTGTATGATCAAATTATGTATTAAATTCTGGGTAAGGTAAAAATAGTACTTGTATGCAAATGAGAATCTATTATACAAAACATCTACGTTCCCCAAGAATAGCTGGCATGTAATAAAAATATGTATGGGAATTACAGAAGCCCCAAAATTGGAGATTAAATTATGAGGTAAAAAAGGCTCACTGCCATCAAGTCCATTCTGACGCAGAGACCCTGCAGGGCACGGTAGAACTGCCCCTTACGGCTTTCCAAGACTGTGACTCTTCACAAGAGCAGAAAGCTCTATCTTTCTCCTGTGGTACTGGTGGGTTTGAACCTAGAACCAGGGTTCCTACCAATCAGAGTAGAATGGGTGCACTCCGAGGCAACCTTAGGCCCACTGACCAAACTCACTGTCATCCAGCCAATTCCAACTCAGAGCAACCCTGCAGGAGGGAGTAGGACGGCCCCAGAGGGTTTCAAGGCTACAATCTTAATGGAAACAGATGGCCACACTTCTCCTTCGAAGTACTGGTGGGCTTGAACCACCGACCTTGTGGTCGCAGTCAAGAGCTTTAACCAATGTTCCACCGGGGCTCTTTTAGTCAACCGGGCAGCAACACACTTAAAAGGCTGTCGGTCAGTGGAGGCTCACCTCTGTATTGGTACAGATGAGTGCCTATAATTGGGCGCCGCCACAGCTTAAAGTGTTTCTTATCCATCACCATTTCCCAAGGCTGCTCTTTGCCCGCGGAGTCTTCAGTCCCTTCTGTCTGGGGTTTTGGTTCTGGGGAGTGGTGCTCAACTCCAGAGCTCTGAAACACACTCGACATTTCCTCCAACCGCTTCATCTCACTGATGGATCTGGAGAAGAGAGAAACAAGTGTGATGCAGGTGTGTGGAGTCTGGGCCCACCTTCCCTGGGAGAGAAATGATCTACTTTGTTTTTTAATGTTAGCCACGCAGTTTTGAGATGTGCATTTATTATTCTTTTCTGAAAGCAAATACTATCAGACTGAAATATTGATCATCCCCTTTGATAGTTGAGTACTGACTCAGAACACAAGTAATGTCTTTGTTAATAATGAATGGTATGATATCTTCACTTTTTTTACACAATAAGGTCTAGTTTATATGTAATAAAATGTCCTATCTGTAGAGTTCAATGGATCTTGATCAATAGACACCCCCATAACCATCTCCCAAACAAAACAGAACCCTTCCATGGCCCTAAGAGGCTCCCGGCTCCTTTCTGACCCTTCCCTCCCTTCTAGGCAACTGTCATCCCAATGGCCTGCACCAGGGGTTATTTCCCCTGGTGCCTCGGTTCATCTACATAGAAGCACAAGTTTTCTTTTGTAACAAACTTCTTTCACTCAATATTTTTTTTAATTCCATGCAGGTTGTACAGTTTGTTCTTTTAAAAATTATTCCATTGTATGAAAACACCACCATTTATTCATTCATTCATTCACCAGCTGATGGTCATTTACATTTTTTCCAGTTTGAGGTGATTGTGAAGAAAGCTGACAGAACACTCTTTGACAAGTGTGTGTGGGCATACACAAATAGTGCCTGACTCAAATGTAGTCTTGATGTGACGAACCACACTTCCAGCGCTTTTTGCTTGGGTTGGTTTGTTTTTTAAAGGGGGGGGTGCCTTATCACCCACCAGAAATATGTCCAACACAGTGTTGCAGTGTATGGTTTCCATTAAGACCAATATAGATCACGTGTATTGGTACTGACAATAAAAGGCAGTAACAGTGAGAATGAGGTATCCCACTTACACCAGAAACAACTGACAATGTCAATTAGTCAGGGACTGCCTGATGCTTTCCCTTCTCGTGGATAAACATGGGATCGCTAGGTCACAGTATGGTGTTTCAGCTGTTTCCCATAACGGTGAGCTGCTCCCACCAGTGTCACACAGGAATCCTGGCCCCAATCCTGGTGGAATCTCGGTATTATTGTTGTCTGTCTATCCACTTTAGATATTCTGGTGAGTAAACAGCAGGAGACAAGGAATTTAAATATACCACTGATGATCATTAAAGATCAAAATAATACCTCACTAGCCAATCGAACCATTAAGTGAGCTCACATGATCTTTCCTGCATCATTAACCTAACAAGTAATGGGTGTGTACTGAGTCTAACTAGCCAGTGCAGGCCACACAATTACTTTAACAAAGGAAGATATAGTAGGGCCTGCATAGGGAAGCAAGATAAAGGGGAGGGGAGGGTGGCACCAGGAAGCTTATAACAATGCTGTGGAGCACGCAGCCTTAGAAACTAAGCCCACCCCCCTGCTATTCTCCTCCCCAAAAACGTATAAGGGAGAGAAAAATCCAATGGTGAACTATTTATACTGAAATAAATAACCAACTTGTGCTATTAACTACTTAACCTGGTCTTCTAGCCATATTTGTAAATCCCATCAAATGATTGGGTTCATTAAAAACCTACTGCCTTGTGGTAATGACTGTACAACTGATACGACTGAACTACTGAATTGTATGCTATGTGGATGAAGTGCCAATAAAACTGTTTAAAAAGTAACCAAACCGCCACTGAATCGATTCAAACTCATAGCGACCCTATAGGACTATTTATATGATTATACAAATGCAAGGTACTGGTGGCCCACCCAGGGGATGGGAGGGCTTGCTAATACTGAATGGTGTATGGCACCATTGTTGGGGTGGGACCATGTGAACAAGATGTATAGAACTCTAATGTGAGGATTAGTCCATTTTGCCAACCTGTTAGGTTGAAACTGAGCCAGAATTCCAGAGGCAGAATAGAGGGATCTCACTACATTACGAAAGAAGAGCCAGGAAGGGAGCATTGTCCTTCAGACCCAAAATTCCTATCTTGGAGCACACGAGACAGCGAGCCACAGCATCAAAGAAATGGGGGCAACAGAAGCAGGGACTAGTCAAAGATGGCACACAGTTAGCCTCTGGGCCTGTGGTGCAAGAATGCTGCATGCCTTTAGACAAGAGACTTGCTGGTAAAGTGGGGGGGTCTCTGAGCACTTACTGGCAAAGTTGAAAAGAGTTTTATAACAGCTGCCCAAGCAGAGCAGGGGACAAGAGGATGGGTCAATAGAAGTGTGCCTATAGGAATGACTGAGAAGAGGCTGTCTTGACTGAAGTGCTGTATCTTGAGTGTTCCTTAATCTGAATTGCAACCTGCTACACTTCCCTGTTAAGCACTGAAATCATATGGTCTGTGAGTTCGGTGTGACTAATACAATGAATTATGAAACCCAGCAGTGTGTGCCATGGAAGGAGTGGTTTCTATCAGAATTGGTAAGAAGGGAGGGTGGTGGCAAGCCTGACTTTTGAGTTATAGGAATCAGCTTTGGGCTGTTGATTGTGATTCTCCTGTTGATAGGCATTTACACTGTCTCCAGATTGAGGCTAGTGTGAACAAATTTCCCCTAGTGAAGTTGGAGATCAGATGGCACTCATGGTGTCTCTGTACCACCAGAATTCAGAAGACGATTTCAAGAACAGATGGACAGAACTGAACACTAATGACCTAAAGCCAATTAAGTTATCGGATGAAATAAAAGGATATCATATGTGAAAAAATCAAAAGGTCAGTTAAAAAAGAAGGAAAATCAAAACAGATGGCAGAAGAGACTCTGATACTTAAGGTAGCTAAAAGGAATAGAAGAATGATGAAGTCAAAGAGCAGTTCGAGAAGACTATGTATATAATAAGATGTGTAAAAGCCTATAGGATGGTGGTGAAATAAATCTACATGCATATATTTATAGGTTTAGTATTAAGGTAGCAGATGGACATTGGGCCTCCACTCAAGTACTTCCTCAATGCAAGAACACTTTGTTCTGTTAAATTGGCATTCCATGATGCTCACCTTCCCAACACAATCACTGAAGACAAAGTTGGTGCATAAGCAAATGTGGTGACGAAAGCTGATGGTGCCCAGCTTTCAAAAGATATAGCGCCTGGGGTCTTAAAGGCTTGCAGGTAAACAAGCAGCCATCTAGCTTGGAAGCAACAAAACCCACATGGAAGAAGCACACCAGCCTGTGTGACCACGAGGTGTAGAAGGGACCAAGTATCAGGCATCAAAGAACAAAAAATCTTATCAGTGTGTGCCCACCTTCCCAATATGATCACTGAAGACAAATGTGTGCATAAGCAAATGTGGTGAAGAAAGCTGATGGAGCCCAGCTATCAAAAGCTATAGCATCTGGGGTCTTAAAGGCTTGAAGGTAAACAAGCAGCCATCTAGCTCAGAAGCAACAAAGCCCACATGGAAGAAGCACACCAGCCTGTGTGACCACAAGGTGTCAAAGGGATCAGGTATCAGGCATCTAAGAACAAAAACTCTTATCATTGTAAATGAGGGTGAATGCAGAGTGGAGACCAAAGCCCATATGTAGGCAACTGGACACCGCTTTACAGAAGGGTCAAGGGGAGGAGACGAGCCAGTCAGGGTGCAGGGTAACAACAATGAAACATACAACTTTCCTCTAGTTCTTTAATGCTTCCTCTCCCCCCACCCACCAATCATGATCCCAATTCTACCTTACAAATCTGGCTAGACCAGAGGATGTACACTGGTACAGATAGGAACTGGAAACACAGGGAATCTAGGACGGATGAGCCCTTCAGGACCAGGAGGGTGGAGGGAGAGTGGGGTAGAAAGGGGGAACAAATTACAAGGATCTATATATAACCTCCTCCCTGGGGGGATGAACGGAAAAGTGGGTGAAGGGAGACATCGGACAGTGTAAGATATGACAAAAATAATAATTTATAAATTATCAAGGGTCCATGAGGAAGGGGGGAGCGGGAGGGAAGGAGACCGGGGAGGGAGGGGTAAAAATGAGGAGCTGGTATCAAAGGCTCAAGTGGAGAGCAAATGTTTTGAGAATGATGGCAACAATGGATGTATGCATGGATTGTGATGAGTTGTACAAGCCCCCAATAAAATGATTTTTTAAAAAACCTAAAAGGGAGCAACATTCCCAGCATTTCTCAAGCTAAAAGAACTAAAAGAGAAAAAAAAATCAAGCCTTGAGTTACAATACTGAAGGAGTCTGGGCAAATATTGAGTGGTGCAGGGAGTAGAAAACGCACAGTTGCTGTGGCAAAAAGAACTGGACAAGGTGTAATTATTTTAGGAGGCTGCATATGATCAAGTACAGAAAATACTACAGGAAAAAGGTCAAGCTGCACGGAAAGTATTAATGAAAACAAAGGCACCAGGAATCAATGGACTACCAAGATATTTCAACAACTGGACATAACCTTGGAAGCACTCACTTGTCTAGGGCAAGAAATCTACAAGGCAGCTTACCTGGCCAACAACCGACTAGGAGATCCCTGCTTGTACCCATTCCAAAGAGAGGTGATCCAAGGGAAACATTTCTCAAACTCATCTGTTTGGATGGCTGACAGCACCTACCTCGATTTTTTTCTTCACCTCTTCTAGTCAAATCACTGTCCTTTTATGTCCCTCTTCATTCACGGAAACAAAACGAAGTCCCACAGAGCGAGGTCAGGTGCGTGGGGCAAGAGAGGCATGCTGTTTTTTGCCATAAACTGGTGCATTGTTGTGGTGGCAAAACCAGTCCCGTCTGCCACAAATCAGGTCTTTTTTGTCACAGTTACGCCATCTTTTCAGAACCTCTAAATTAAGCTTGATTAA